GAGGCTCAGGGAGGTGAAGTGACCAGGGGAGTTATCTGAAAGCAGAATCCACAGACACCTGCACTGCTCCCTGGGGTCTCCCTGGATCTCCACCTTGTCTCTTGGCCTGTGTGTGTGTGTGTGTGTGTGTGTGTGCGCGCCATATGGTGTATTGTGCGGTTGTGTGTTGGGTTGTATGTTGGGTGTGCTATGTTGTGTGCATTGTGTTGTGTGGTTGTGTATGTTGTGTGGTTGTGTGTTGTGTGGTTGTGTATGTTCTGTGTGTGTTGTGTGTGTGTGTTATATGATTGTCTTGTGTGGTTGTGTGTTGTGTGTGGTGTGGTTATGTTGTGTTGTGTGTGTTTTGTGTGTATTGCGTGGTTGTGTATGTTGTGTGCATTGTGTTGTGTGTGTTGTGTGGTTATGCACGTTGTGTTGTGTGTATTGTGTTGTGTGGTTGTGTATGTTGTGTTTGTGTGTGTGTGTGTTGCGTTGTGTGTGTGCATTGTGTGTGCACATGTGTCTGCATATCTCTTTGCCTCTGTGTGTGCTGTGTGCTGTATGTGTGTGTGCTGTGTGTGTGTGTGTTGTGTGGGTGTGTATCTGTATATCTCTTTGCCTCTGTGTCTCTGCCACTGCACCTCTTCCGGTGTGTCTTTCTCTGTCTCTCTCGATCTCTTTGCCTCTCCTGAGCCTGTGCCCCTGCTGCCCCAGGGGCCCCCTCTGGCTGGTACCTCAATGTTGACCACGACCGTCCGGCCCACGGGTAGCAGCTTGTGGTTGACGGTGAAGATCCGACAGAGAACTGGGGAGAGACAAGGAGGCCTGGTGAGACCCTGGCCCGCCCACGCCGGTGCCCCGCCCTCTCCAGCCGCCCGCAGCCTCACCTGTGGAGCCAGGGGTGTAGATGGTCTTGTCTGTCTGGATGAAGAGGTACCCGCTCTGAAGGCTGACCAGTACCACCTTCTCCACTACTTGGGCCCCGAAGGTGGCCTGCACGGTCACGAACTTGTTGTGCCCCTTTTCTGACTTGAACTCCTTGTTGGCTGGGATCTAGGCATGGGCAGGGCATCGTCAGGGGTCTGTTCCACGGCCCAGTGCCCACGGTCCAGCTTCCGTATCTTGGGCTGGGTCCCTCCTTGCCTGCCCATTATTCTTGGTCCCCCAGGGTGGCCCAGTTTTGGGGAGGGAGGGGCATGTGAAGGAGGTGCTGGGGAGCGGGGGGACCAGGGAGGGGACTCAGAAGGAAGAGCTCACAAAGAAGAGAGAGCTTATAGGAGGAGGGGCTCAGAAGGGGCGGGGACTCAGAAAAGGGGAGGGGCTGACATGGGAGGGGCTCAGAAAGGGTGAGGGACTCAAGTGACGGAACTTAGAAAGTGGTGGAGACTAAGAGGGGAGGACTTCAGAAGAGGAGACCTTTGAAGGGGCGGGGCTTAGAAAAGGAAGTGATTCAGTGGGAGGGACTTAAAAGGGGTGGAGTCTCAGAGAAGGGAGGTGCTTAGAATGGGAGAAGCCTCATAAGGGGTGGGGTGTCAGGTAAGGGCAGGGCTTAGAAGGGGAGGAGACTCAGAAGGGGTGGGGTCTCAGAAAAGGGTGGGGCTTAGAAGGGGAGGAGACTCAGAAGGGGTGGTGTCTCAGAAAGGGGTGGGGCTTAGAAGGGGAGGAGACTCAGAAGGGGTGGGGTCTCAGAAAAGGGTGGGGCTTAGGAGAGGCGCCTCCGAAGGGGTGGAGTCTCAGGGAAGGGCAGGGCTTAGAAAGGAAGGAGTCTCAAAAAAGGTGGAGACTCAGGGAACGGAAGGGCTTAGCAGGGGAGGAGACAGAAGGGGAGGGACTCAGAGAAGGGAGGGGCTTAGAAGGGACGGAGCCTCAAAAGGAGTGGAAACTCGGGGAAGGGCAGGGCTTAGAAAGGGAGAAGACAGGTGCCGGGCGTGGGGGGCTCACGCCCGTAATCCCAGCACTTTGGGAGACCGAGGCGGGCGGATCACGAGGTCAGAAGATCGAGACCATCCTGGCTAACACGGTAAAACCCCGTCTCCACTAAAAATACAAAACAATTAGCCGGGCGTAGAGGCAGGCGCCTGTAGTCCCAGCTACTCGGGAGGCTGAGGCAGGAGAATAGCATGAACCCGGGAGGCAGAGCTTGCAGTGAGCCGAGATCGCGCCACTGCACTCCAGCCTGGGTGACAGAGTGAAACTCTGCCTCAAAAATAAATAAATAAATAAATAAAAATAAAGAAAGGGAGAAGACAGAAGGGGAGGGCTCAGAAGGAGGGAGAGTGGGCGTGGCTGTGGGTGTCAGCAGGGTCCTGCACCAGTCTGCACCCACCCTGATGGTGACGCTGCCCATGTGACTGGTGGCAGGGGTCAGCACGGTCTTCTCACTGGACAGCACCAGTTTTTTGCCTGGGAAGTCGTGGACAGTGACAGTGACCGGAACATCCCCTTTCGCGTCGTGGGCCTCCAGCACCACGGTCTCCTCACTCTCCAGCCGCAAGACGTTGGGGGTGATCATAGAGTACCTGTCGGAGTGGGGCACGGGAGTGGGGCTGTCATTCCCGGGGTGTGAGACGGCAGTTCTCACTGGAGTCAGCACCTGGCAGGCTGTGTGCCCCAGCCCCTGGTCCTGGAGAGGATCCAGGGACTGCTGGCACACTGCCAGTGCCAATATCTGGATCTGAATTCTTCTCTGGGCACTGCCACTGTCTCAACCACATGGGCAGGACAGCAGCCACCATGACTCCCACTCTCAGCCAGCTGGGCCTGGCCTTTGAAAGCCTGGGCAACGAGGGGCCATGCATCCCACCAACCCCTGAACCTCCAAACCAGCATCAGCAACTCCTCCAAGTCTCTGGACTTCCAGACCCACAATCCCCTAAACCCACACATGCCCCAAACCCTAAACCTCTACATCTCTAAACACGCCAAATACGTAAACATTCAAACCCCAGACAGCCTAAACTCTACATACCCAAACCCACATACACCCAAACCTCTAAACCTCAAATCTTAGAGCACCCCAAACCCAGCCTAAACCTCCAACACCCCGGTCCTAATAAATACAACCAATTCCAAATGTCCCAACCATACATGAATCCAAAGTAGCCAATCTTTAAACCCACACTGAAACTTCTAAGTCCCCAAGCTGCAAACTCCCAAATCTTGCAAAGTCCAAACCTCCGAGTCTCCAAGTCACCCCAACCACACCGTCACTGAACACCACATACACCCTAAACCAACAGATGACCTCAATTCCAGAAACATCCCAAATTCCAATTCCACAATACCTGGATTCCACAAACACCCAACCTCTGAACACCCAGAGTCACAGGCAGCACAAATTTATATAAACATTCCCAACCTGCTAACCCCAGAATCCACAAACACCCACATGCACCCTGAATTCTACAGGGACCTGGACCCCCAAATGGCGGATTCCACCCCAGAAGCAGCCTTGTTTCTGTGTAGAGTCATAACCACTCACATGGGAGTCCCCAGAGCCAGGGGGAGGTGGATTAGTAGCAGGAGCAGCAGGCTGGGACCTGAGGTGGGTCCCATGGTGCTGGGACAGTGCAGGGTCAGAGGGACAGAGGGACAGAGGGAGAGGATGGGGAGGAGTGAGCAGTGCCTGCTGGAGTTGGCTTTTTATCCAGCTCCTGCCTTTCCCCCGCCTCCTCAGTCCCCCCTTCTCCCCATGGCCTCTCCCTTTTCGGGAGCTGCCCCGGATTTCTCAATACCATTTCCTAAGTTTTTCAGTCCCTGGGGCCAACATGTCCGTGGGGTGAGTAACCTGAGGGCATGTTCCTCAGCAGCATGAATGTAGCTGCACCCTGCCCTGGACTCTCCCAGGGTCAGGGCCAGCTGGTGAACACAGACCTTTCTCTGTTGGACCCACTTTGTAGTGGAAGAACACTAAGGTCTGGAGAACCCCCCACCGCGGATGTCTTGGACCTCATCCCCAGTTCACTTTTGGCCATGCATTTATCAGTTGAACCCTTCCTAGGAATCTCTCTGTAGGCTGGGAGTCAGAGCCCCACTTCTAGAGGCTTCCATGCTGAGGGAGGGGAAGTAGGATGGGGGAGGGACAGAGCCCAGCACAGAAACTCCCAGTCTCATGAAATGTTTTCTAGCTCATGTGCAGAGCAGGGGGAAAAAAAAAAGAAGAAGAAGAAGAAATGTTTTCCCCAGTGAAACAGAACTCTGCTTCTTGGAGGGTCAGGGAAAACTTCCCGTAGGAGGGGACATTGCAGATGGGCTTTGAGGTATGTGTAGGAGTTCACTATCCAGGTAAGCTTATTTTCCAAGGAAGCTCCCCTCACTTACCCTTGTCAGGATGCCTGAGTGACTTTGGTGGTGAGAAAAGTCATCACTGAGGAAAGTCCTCATTTCTAGAGCTTTTGTACCTGTCTTATGTCAACATCCTCTTCAGATATTAAATTGTATTGTGTGTGTGTGTGTGTGTGTCTGTGTGTATAATATATTCATATTGATCAACATCTAAAAGGTAGAAATGTGTATAGAGGGAAAGGCAGTCTTCCACCCCTGTTGACAGCATATTCTTTTTGTTTTTTCCTTTTTAAATTTTTTTCTCATTCTGTCACTCAGGCTAAATTGCAGTGGTGCAATCACAGCTCGCTGCAGCCTCAACCTCCTGGGGTCAAGTGATCATCCTGACTCAACCTTCTGAGTAGCCGAGACTACAGGTGGCCGCCACCATGCCCGGATAATTTTTTATTTTTGTGGAGATGGGGGTCCCACGATGTTGCCCAATCCAGTCTTGAACTCTTGGGCTCAAGTGATCCTCCCGTAGCAGCCTCACAAAGTGCTGGTGTGAACCACCATGCCCTGTGGACAGCACATATTACATATTATTTTTCCCGGTCTCTTCAGTTAAATCTTGAGTTTCGTTTTGCTTTGTTTTTTTCACGAACAATATACCTCAGAGGCTATTTCACCTCAGTGCACAAAGAACTTCCTCATTCTTACAGGTTAGAGGCCTCTTGTTATATTGTGAGAAAGTAACCAGCCTGCTATTTGTTGGGGGATATTTCATTTGTTTTTGAGGGTTTTTTTTAGACAGAGTAGGCTAGAGGGTAGTGGCGCTATCTCAGCTCACTGCACCCACCACCTCCCGGGTTCAAACAATTCTCCTGCCTCAGCCTCCGGAGTGGCTGAAACTACAGGTGCGCACCACCCCGTCCGACAATTTTTGTATTTTTAGTGGACACGGGATTTCACCATGTTGGCCAGGCTGGTCTCTAACTCCTGACTTCAAGTGATCCACCCACCTTGGCCTCCCAAAGTGTTGGAATTACAGGCGTGAGCCGCTGTGTCCAGCCACCAGCCTCTTATTGATGGACAGACTGACATCTGCGGCTTCACACCAGGCTCTCTGCAGTGAATAAGCTTGAAGCTGCATTATTTTCTAGCTCTGAAACTAGCTGTAATCTTTGGGCAAGCTACTGATTACCGCCTGATCCTCAGTTTGTTCATGGAAAAGGATACCCTTACCACCTACTTCACAGAGTTGTTGTTGCAATGAAAGGAAATACGTTGGGTCAATCTCTGAATGCATTGGTAATCTTGCTAGATATTGCCAAATTCCCGTGCACAGAAGTTGTATTGATTTACACACTTGCAAGCCGTGCATGAAAAGAACTGTCAGTTTCTCCCACTGCCTCATCACAGGGGCAAACTTGAGGATTTTTGCCAGCCTTGTGGGTGACAACTGGTACCCTGGTGTCATTTTTGTTGTTTGTTTCTTTTGAGATGGAGTCTTGCTCTGTCACCCAGGCTGGAGTGCGGTGGCACCATCTCGGCTCACTGCAACCTCTGCTTCCCGGGTTCAAGCGATTCTCCCGCCTCAACCTCCCAAAGAGCTGGGATCACAGGCATGTGCCACCACACCTGGCTATTTTATGTATTTATTTATTTATTTTGTATTTTTAGTAGAGACAGGGTTTCGCCATGTTGGCCAGGCTGGTCTCAAACTCCTGACCTCAGGTGATCCACCTGCCTTGGCCTCCCAGAGTGCTGGGATTACAGGTGTGAGCCACCACACCCCAGCAGCTGGTGTCATCTTAACTGGCATTCCTCTTATGGTCAGCAGCATTGCTGTCCAGGCATAGGAGGTGGATGGTGAAGGCAGAAGGGTCTGTGGGTAGGGCCCCCTTATCCCTAGAGAGGCGGTTTCTGAAACCCCATTGAAGGGGTTAATGGGGAGTTTTCTCTGATTTCCTGTAAGCCACGTTCCTTTCCGTGCCAGGGGTAGGGGGAGGCGTGGAGCATGAGAACAAACCTGGCGTCTGTCTGCACTGATTGCAACACACTCTTTGGAAGAGGAGGAGGAGGAGGAGGAGGAGAGAGTATGAAAACACCTGCTTGCTCTCCAGAATTGGGGTTCAGCTTTTGAAACTGCATCCCCTTGCCAGGCGCAGTGGCTCACGCCTGTCATCCCAGCACTTTGAGAGGCCGAGGCAGGCAGATCACCTGAGGCCAGGAGTTGGAGACCAGGCTGGCCAACATGGCAAAACCCCGTCTTTACTAAAAATACAAAAATTAGCTGGGCATGGTGGTGGGTGCCTGTAATCCCAGGTACTCGGGAGGCTGAGGCAGGAGAATCTTTTGAACCCAGGAGGTAGAGGTTGCAGTGAGCTGAGATTGCACCACTGCACTCCAGCCTG